GCCTTAGTGACCTCATACAAAAATGAGGTCAACAATGTGCAAGTGACAGCGAATAATATGCAGCAAATACAAGTGTCTGCTGGCCACTATAGATGACATGTTGCACACCCAATCTATTGCCCGTAGGCAGAACACAAAGGAAATACATCAAATGTGAATTCTTATTAGCTATTGCAGAAAACCTGGCATATGTAATTTGCAATCATCTAAAACCAACAATAAGATATTCGTTGGTATACTATAATCCACCTACAGAAAGCAAAAAGTAGTGCACGACAATTTACCTGCATAAAGCAGCAAACAACTCAATCTAGAAGCTGCTACGATACGTCATCAGATCCACAACATACATACAAGCATACAAAATGCGTGTACGAACTTCCAAGTAAAATGTTGCATTCAAATAAGCAATGCTAAGCATTTTAAAATACCCTGGCACTTGTAATATAATTTGTATATATATAGGTATACAAGGGGTAAATACAATCATAAACCCTCATGAGCCTCAACGAGTATGTTGTAGGAATACATGTGACATCTATGAATAATGCGTGGGTCAATAAGTGAATTTAAGTTCAAACACAATCTTTCTATGGGGATCAATTGGAGTCGACATGGTTTGAACCATTAAATAAATATACGGTTATGGTGACCAGTATATTTATCCTAATACAATCACATTAGACCTTCAAGGCCTATATCAATGATAATTTACTTATAAAGGCATAAAGCCTGCAAAATCCATTCCCTTATCAATAAGTTAATAGGGTCGACAAGATTTAATAGAAAAATAAAAAGATCGCAAATACCTCGATGATGGTCGTATTGAATGTGAATCTCAACCATAGGGGTTAATCTCAAATATTTTAAAATGCCCTCAAACTCCATAAAATTTAAATATCTTCAACTGACCCCAAACACCATGATGATGGTCGTATTAAATGAAGATCTCAATCGGAGGGGTTCATAGATACTTTCAAATGCCTTCCAAGCTCCACACAAAATCCCAAAAATCATCCAAATTTAAATATTTAAAATTGAAATACATCCATCAAGTAACTGAAAGCAAAATCCATCCACCCTCCATAATAGTTTGTCGAGGTGGACTAATTGAAAATAACTCCATATCAAATAGAGCTAAATGTCTGGTAAAAAATATCACTATTATCCATTCTCAAAATAATCTCCTGTCAGTAAGGACATGGTACGTATCCTCTAACCAACAATTTTGCAGCCAAATGACACTGCAGGATAAACGATTATGACTCGGGGCCCTCTAAACTTAGTGATTTTGCCTCCAAATGATACCATGAAATATCGGTTATGGCCAAAGCCAATGCATTCCTTAATGGCATCAAATCATTGAGATATGAATGAATATGATATAATCGATAGGGCAAAAGCCCTCTGTTAGCTAAGGTGGATTCAAGTTTGTCTGCTTAGACAAACATTCATCCCAAGTCTATAACATATTCTTGAACGAAGCAACCTATTACTGCCGACAAGGATCCTTCTATCAGGTTGGCTCGACTACCTCCTCTAACTAAGTAGACCATGGAACATGATGGCTCTGGATGACCGAACCATCAGATCTTGATCAAGTCCATCATCCATTACCCCACCATCTATTTTAAGTGCAAGATAGTGAAATTTCTAATTTTAAATATCAAACTTTCCAAATTATCAAATTTCAAACACCCATTGCTGCTACTATACACTTGATAATACATATCTATGGATATAATGTATATGATTAACGACTAGCTTTAA